TCACTACGATAGTAACAACAACACTAAAGGAAGGCTAACTTATGAAGGTGGGAGTGGAGTGGAAGTTTAGGTGGGGGTAAGGGAAAGCGAGGTTAGGGGAACCAGAATATATCACAAGATGAAAATTGGCTGCTATGGAATGGGAAGTGATGGAAGGGTGTGACTGCCTCAAGGCAGTAAGTCCTGCTGCCCCATTAAAAGGGCAGCCAATAGAAAGAGAGTATGTGCAACGCGTGTACCACTATCGCCATGAAAGTACTGGCTTATCGGCTCACCTAGCAGCCTGCCCGAGGTTCCTATCAACTCTGATGTCTGCAGTACCACCACATAAGGGTTAGATTGGCCCACTGAGTTCTGACCAACCAGATTTACCTCGTAAGAGGTGCCTGGTTGAAGGCTTTTGATGCGATACATGCCTTCCACTCCATGGCGCGTTCTTCTGTCGGCGTCTCGAGATAACACGTCGAAGACCGTCCACGAACCTAACGGTGTTATCTGGCTTTGTACTGTGGTGAAAAGAATAAAGGCTTTAGATGAAATCACAAAAAAAGATGCACGAACGGTCGTTTATCTGTGCGTTTTATGTTTAAATAGACCGGTGACTTTGAAGCCGTAGATTTAGACGACAACTTCTTTCCAAGTCTATAGCAGTACTTTACCTGGAACGTGTGGATAATCGGGAAGTATAAAATGCTAAAATATCAACATTTCCCCATTCTCCCAAGAAAGAGTGACTATTAAAAGTAGGCTTAGAGAAGTCTGCCATTGGAGAACTTCTCCCATGCTCTTTCTATAGCCCTTGTCCAACTATTATGAGCAGATCATTGACAAATAGCGAACGCATAATGTTTTGCATTGCTTCCAGTTTTTCATGGGTAGGAGCGAATACATGCGAAATTATTTAGTCTTCCTAATTAGAAGTTGGTTCATCAGCACATCACTTGATGCTGTCTATAACAAACGTATATAAATCTCTTCCTTCCTCTCTTATCCTACTCTCTGAAGGAAGTAAAAATACATGGCGATACTTTGACTAAAATCACCACTCAGTGTAAATAGAGGAGACATATTTATGTTTTTCCATGTAATGTTAAATTAGCATCTGATTTTCATGATTAGAGTTGACAACTGTGAATATCGATAGACTTTAAATTACACGTTGAAACAGGCCGTATATTGAGACAGACAGGTAGATCACCTCATACGAACCAAACAGCGACACTTTTAAAGAGAGCTGATCAAATGTCGGTGGATTGGACATATTTACTTTTATCTTGTGCCAACCCCGTGAAATTGGTCCAATGGTATCTACATACTATATTCTTTGGGTGGCTCGCTAACTTTAGTGGAGATAATTCCTCCCTTTATGTAAGTAGTGCAGTACATCTTATCGTCAATCGACTGCCAAGTTGGCTGTTTAAAGCAACCCTCAACTTTCACCGTAAGGATCAATAAAGACGTGTAAAACGTGAGTTCTAATATTCTAGGTGCGATTTCTAAAATGGAAAGGTTTAACATTAACTTCGAATAGTTCATCAGTGCTCTTACCTCCAAATGCTTTTTGCTAAGCTGAGATCGTGAACTCATTAGTTTTTGCTTTCGAATGAGCGTATTTAGGTGCCCACGCAACCATTTCTTCCTACTGACCATAAAAGAAGGATGCTGCATAGTAGTATTTCGTCTCGTATTAAAGGAATTGATAGGTTGTCAAAAATGCACATGTGAATCAGTGTGCAAGGGAGTAAACGGATGGTCCATTTCAGCTTCTTAATTAGACCATAATCACCGATGGCAGAAGCCCAGATGCATTCCTGACGCCGATTAGAGTTGACTACTGTCGCAGACTTAGCAGGAGGTCGCGAGTCAGACTGATCGTAAGTGAACCAAAATAACAGCCCCAAAATTCCAGCCAGAACTGAAAAGAGCTACTATTATTTTGAATGAAAATTCTTCCCAGATTTACTCAATCACTTTCACATTGGGCGTAGTCTATTAATTATTTACCATCCAAGGTTTAAGTACAAGATTCAAAGCAGGTTAAACGATCGATGAACTGCTAAACAGTACTTAATACCATCCACCTACAAACATATTTAACAATTTGTGCAAGTTAATCAGTTTCCAAAGAAATGTTATAAAAGGACAAAAGCATTTTTTGTAAGAAATAGGAGACATGGTGTAGGCAATAGGGTATGCTAAGGAAGAAAGCAACGTTTTATTATGTCTTCCTCAAGCTGTACAAGGCATAGCACTTCTGCCTGATGCAAATAGATAGTTCGAACACATGATTTGCCTTTTATGATTGCGAATGTGTAGAATGCTCATATTCTGCCTCACTCGGAGGGCTTCTACCATTTGAATAGACATAATTAGGTCGTCAAGTACAAACAAACTTCACCAACTAACCTGGTCCCCAGGAAGTTTCCACTGGACGAATTTTGATTTTGTACATGATGACCGGAGAACCGCCATCTGACTCAAGGATCCACCGCACCAAGTAATCTGAGGAGGTTACATCCGAGTCTGTCGCAATCAACTTCAACTTTGGCACACCAATTTTCCGAGTCATTACCTAAAATATGTAGACGTAGGAAATTAATAGTTCAAAAGAACTTAGCTTCCCTTGGTAGCTTCTTCCGTTGATTTGTAAAAAGGCCAGCATTGCTACATCCTGTTAAGAAGTTTCTTGTCCCACCAAAATATGCAACTTAGTTTCCTAACACAGCCCCCTTACTTAAGGAAGAATTACGAAATCTAAAGTGTGCACGTGTTGGCAACGCAGTGCAGTATCAATCGACGTATAACTGAATGTTGCGAACAAAATTCGGCAAACAAACTTGAAATCCTTGTTGTTGAATTTGGGCATGGTAGGAAGTGGCTCATTCGCCGCTCATAAAAATGGTAACTGGAATAGAGGAGCAGCGAAATACAGAAGCTCCAGTTTTCCTCGTTTGAAGGAGCCATTATAATCAGGAATGGAATGACAGCAATAGGCATAATTTTACGGTCAAGAAATACGATGTCTTGATTGACCTCTACAAAGTCTTTAAGCAAATAATATTTATAGTCTTTCTCCCGCGAATTCTGGCAAAGAAAATTAAAAAGCTGTTTTAAATTCAAACCTGAATGTATGTGTTTGGTCCTCGACCCGCGGACGTAACAGCAGAAAGAGCGAATTTGTAGAAGTGGTTCGGTGTGAGATCCGGCAATCGAACGACTCTACGTCCAGGTAGATAGGCGAAGGGACCATGAAAGCGTTCGTTTGGAGATGGTTGGATGCGCAGTTCGTAATGCGTCAGCGGCAGTCCCCCTGTTTCCTTTGGTGGAATGACGCACAGCTCCACTAGTGTTGCTTCAACCTATACGTTCCAAGGAAGCGTAAGTAATTTGGCGTCACAGGACGCAAGGGAAACTTAATGGCATTTTTATGATTGCAAACGCAACCTACAAAATTTCGTGTATTGATGACAGGAGCCACCCTTCCTCCGGATTGCTAGAGATGTGGCTCGTATCGACCATCACAGTCTCCAGCAAATTCGAGTAAGAATGTTATCTTCATATTCGTGACTGTCACAGGCATTATGATTGCATTCAATGGATCACTATGAGCTATCATGCATGAAGTCTGTGCATTTATTGCACCCAGCTTGATTTCCTTTTTGAGGAGAAATGTCACGATATGGGAATTGTTCTCAACACTCCTACAAATTGGCACACATTTTTCTTTTCTAAGTGCGCATGCTTTGGTCTTAACTTTCGTAAGTAGCTTTACTCTCTACTTTACTTGATCGAGCTGTTCAAGATCGTCAGGCCTACTCTTATTCTTTACCAGTCAACACACTGATTCATCAATCCAGCCATCGACCTCGTCTTACCAAAGAAACGGTGCCGCACTGAGAGCATACCTGATGAAAGTGTGAAGCGCTTTGCAAGATATAGCATCAACCATGTTTTAGATCCTGTATTCTGCGCCGAGTGCAACAGATCTCATGCCGATTCCGCTAAAGTGTGTCGTAATGGCAGCATAGTACCAATTTTGGGATTATAGTTCCTCTAACAAAATTAACATTGATTCAATATTTAAAGGCTGCTCTCACTATTTGATCACAGCTTAATTTGCATCACACACATGAAAGCCAGTTGAGTGGTCGAGTGACTTGAGACAATAACTTGGTATTGTGAGGAGAAATGCCTCAAAATTTGAACCTAATAATGACCCTTTGGCGTGTTATTAATGGACGTTCAGCCAGCCTTATTAGTTCCCGAGTGTTTGGCTTTCCGAGTGATCAACATCTTAAATGTGCTCTCCACATATGATCATATGTAGTTGATAGTTTCCCATCAAACATTTCTATGCATAGTCAACTATTTGATCTATTCAAGTTAAATATCTTTCATCAGCCGATTAGACTTACTTTAATTCATTATACCGCTTTTGACAATATAAAGGTTCTTCTGTTAACACATGTCTGCACGAATTTTTAGTAAAACCCATCGTTACTTCAGTTGTTATTGCCACTATTTGTTTATAATTGCGAAACTTTAAATTCTAATAATATCATCTGACGCACTTTAAAAATAACTAGAACAAACTGATAGTTGGCAAGACAAGGCTTTGAAATTAGAATGGTTTATGCCATCACCCAAAACCAGACCACCATATGAAAATTATGAAGTCGAAATGGGATTAACCGATGAGTGATTAGGTTTAATAAAGTGGGTAGGAGGTAGGCATACAAACTGTGGATAAAAGTGTTAGCACCATGTCCTTGATGATC